GAGGATTTTTAAAATATAAATAACTTTCCTGACTCAGAACCACATGATAATGTTGAGTAATTGAGACCTTTTATTATTTTCTTGACTAGGTTGAAAACTACATCTACATAATAAGCCATCCTTTCTAACTGTACAAATCCCAGGTTCTATAAATCCAGACTTTTATATAAAATAGAAAAAAGACTGTAAATCTAGATATAGTTACTCAGGATTCTTGTTTCTTTTGGAATTCCTATTAGTGTCCAGCATAAGTAATATTCATATAACTGTCTAAAAGCCCGGGGACAGCCCTGCACATTAGGACAATGGGCCACTGACTTGTGTCTGGAACCTTTACAGGGAGTTTGCAGAGAAGCAAGAAGTGTCCCTCCTGTCCTGGCTGTCAGGGGGATTGTGAGGTGGGTCTGCCTCATCTCTAATGACAAGCACCTCTGCTGGAAGGGATTGCAGATTGAGAGCTGTGTCTTTTATTTATTTGGAAGCACTAGAATTGGCAGGGAAGGGGGGGCACGAGGGACAAGGTCAGATAATTTGCAGGCCTGTCATAACATGTTTGGTTTTCATTTTTTACTTATCTTCAAAGTCACTGTGAAGTGACTTTGAGAATAATGAAGAAAAATGTTTCCCTTTTTGGTAAAGGTAAACATTTAGTTTCCATATCCTGGTTCTTATTACAGACCTCTTACTGGGGAAAGAACCAGCGAGAAGCATGCTTCAGAAACTGCTGCCAAATTAAAAGAGAGCAAATATGAAATAAATGTTATGCAACGTGCTCCCTTTTATTTTTTAAACCACTCATTGGTATAAGCAAAGACTCACATATTGAAAATTACATAAGGAGTAAGTTTACACCTAGATCCTCCTTTTAGTGTAAGCCGTACAGTCATCTCTCATTTGTCCAGGCTAATAGAGGGGAATAGAAGCAGAACAACAGATAATCCAGCAAATGATTTAGCCTTAATATGTAGTCAGAAACAGATGCCTTCTCCTCCACCCTGTGAGAGGCAGTGTGGCCTAGGACACAGGTTTTGGAGCCAAATTTACTAACTGAATACCTTGGGATAAGTGATTTAGCTGCCCAGAGCCTCAATTCCTCACCTACTAAAATGGGAATGGCATTGCTTACTTCACTAGGATACTGTGTGAATTAAAGGAGATGTGTAGGCAAAACACCTGGCTTATGGTAGGTGCTTAACAATATTAGCTACCTTCCCTGAATCCCTGACCTGTAATTTGTCCTCAAAACAGATAAGCCATTCTTGGATAAATAGGAGTTGACCATGGTACTATTTAAGCCTCCTAGTGTTTCTCCTGTAAAATGCAGGTGTGAGCTAAGATTTTACTGAACATATTCTTTTTTCTTTTTATTCTTTTTTTACTGTATCCTTTATTTAGTCCAGTGCTCCTCAACACTGGTTGCACATTGGAGTCACCTAGGGAGCTTTTTAAAGTACCAATGTCTGGGTCTCACCCCAGAGACTAGGATGTCTTTGGTCGGGGAAAGAGGGAGGGGCTTTGGGATTTTTAAGAGCTCCCTGGAGGTTCTGTTTGGCTAGAGTTGAGCTCCACAGTCTCACTTGCCAAGTGTGTGAATTAGGCTCATGGTCAGTATCAAAATCCATCCAAACCAACCTGGTCTCAATCCTGGCTGCAGAGAGTGCTTGGGAAGCTTTTTTTTAAATGCTCACCCTCTCTCCCCAGAGAGGTTTTGATTTGTCTGGGGTGAGCTCTAAGCATGGCTATCTTTATAAAGGTCTCCAGATGACTTATTTTCTGCAGCCAGGGTTAGGAATCACTGACATAGTCAACACAGTTTTATCAGATAGCTGGTTAAAACTATAAAGTCAGGTGATTTCAGAAGCATTGTAGAAATCCACCCCATCCTTTGCTCCACTTAATATCCCCTTGATAGAGTCCACAGTGAATTCGCTTCATGGCGACATAGTAACAAACACCACTTTGATGTGTGTTCAGTGTGGGAGTTTTTCTCCTCGTCGGGTTATTTTTAT